TTCGCCTGGCGATTTTGATCCACCATGTCCTTCACTTTTCTAATATTTATAATTCTAATAATAATAGATGACATTAAAGCTCGACATCTCTCGCGAGTCCGTTCGGATGGCTTTGGTGAATATTTTGGGTATGAAACGCGTTCGTGTTCGACTTGTCTCGAGAAGCTGAATTTTTTCTCAAAAAAAGTACCTTAATTAGGTTTCTTTGGACGTGTTTGATCGTCCGAATTCCGATCCCACATTCATGGAGATAAATGTAACTGCCCATGAGAGATGGGTTAATAAGTTCGACAYACAAACAAGTAAACAATCATTGGAATGGAGGAAGAAACGAGCCGAAACCAAAAAAACAAAAAACACGCCAAAACCGATGAAAAATCAAGGTGGTGCTCACTGTTATTTTGATATTGTGGTTTGATGCATCATGAATTATTTCCGTAGAGACAGACGGTCAATAAGGAGTACAATTGGTCGTATTTAGGCGTTTGCGTGAGAATTGTGGAATAACATRTCATGGATTTTATTATTATGACCGAATTTAAAGCCAAAAAAATGCAATGAATGCCACCGTATTCACCAGATTTGGCTCCGTGTGATATTYTCTTGTTCCCCAAATTGAAATTGCAGCTCCRTGGAAYCAGTTTTCAGTCGATCGAAGAGATAAAACAAAATTCGTTGAAGGAGTTGAAGCCCATCCCAAAAAATGGTTATGTAAAATGTTTGGAGGACTGGAAAAATCTTTGAAGGCGAAAAAATAAATATTGATGAATAATTAAATATTTTACGTWACTTTTACAATTTCCAGGACCTTTTTGTCACAATTTATATACATATGCATAATAATAATGTAAATGAACAGTCATTGGAWAATACTTAGGACAACCATATATTTGTAACTACATATTTTTCATATTTTTGTATATTCTATAAATTTTTTCTTAAAATATAATGTCGTAGAAATTTCCTGTAAAATTATTAAAAATTGCCTAATGGAAGGTTTTTTATTTTGTTTGACAATTAATTGTTGGTCTTTTCACGAAATTTTTTTTAAGTTTTCTGAGTTTGTTACATAAAAAAAAGTTTCGATCAGACAGTAGATGAATCTCCAAGGATTAGTGATGATCAGTGCAAGAAAGCTTTCGATGTTCTTTCTTTCATTCGATGTTCTTTTCAGAAATCAAACTCACGTCAATCTGTGGAAGCTCTCTTATTTGTCAAGTCATCTTCAGGAAATTTGGCGTTGATTACTCTCCAAGGCAACACTGATGAAATTGTTCAGATCGGATCACTGTAGCTTATAGCTGTCATCCAAACTGACCAATCAAAAACAGAATAAATATCTTGTATAACCTTTTATGCTAAAAAATGCACCGTTGCACTGGAAGCGCAATATTGATACACTAGCGTAAGACCTTATATTGATATTACGTTTCTCCTTTATGCTTTATGTAGATTCACATTCAAGGTTTGGTATCTAATGAATTCCAAAAATTCGATGACTGATGTGTGTTAAAGCTGGACACTCACAGAGAAASTGAAGAACYGTTTCTTGGCTTSCTTCGAGTTTCCAGCTACGGTACGTGCTTTTGTATGGCATTCTCATTAATGTATGTTCTCCAAATGACCAAAGCCCACGATTGATGCAAGTCTGTATAAACTCTCTATCTGTTTTTTTGTTGCCGAAAATGTTCTTATATCCTTGATCCCAAATTATAGTTTAGACGGATTGACCTGCCAGTGAGCTTAAAGCTCATATAGTTGGCTTCTGTATACTCCCGCAGTTGTTCAATAGAACTTCTCAGGACTTCTCCATACGCAGTACTTTCGCTTGGAAGATGCTAGTTGAGTTTGTTAGACTTTAAGATAGAGTGATATCAAGCTCCTCAGAATGTACCCTGGGTCCTAARCCGGAGTCCATTTTGAGCACGTCGGTATATATGGAAGTGTCTATTGAAGTCCATCCTTGGGAGGATAAGGTCTTATTTATTTAGATTAGTTTCTTGCTGGTTCAGAATTTCGCTATGCGCACAACTCTTCCTAATCCAATCAGCAATCTTCWTCATTCTTATAGCAGAAAGTACTGCCATTTTCCTTATGAAATTTCTATGGGCAGTTGGTGCCGAAGTATTTTCAGCATATCTTTCGGACATGACTTGAGCGCCCCAGTAACCCCTAAAAACGCTGCTCTATAAATTTTCTCGAAAATTTTCTAAGCATCAAATTTTTGGATCCAAGAAAATCAGCTTCAAACATCCATTGAAAAGGTTCTGCTTATCATGGAACGATGGCAAATTCATCATATTAAAGATAATATGACATTGAGGTATTCCAACATGTAATGATAGCGTACGTGGAAGATAATTTGCTAGTGAGTTGGTGATTTCAACAAGACAATGAACCGAAACATGTGTCGGTTTTTTTGAAATGACAAGAATTCAGCATTGTTCTTATGTATTTTTCCACGACTGTATCCTTTAGTATGCAAAAAACAAATGAGTTCAATATGTTTGTAAATTGTTAGGTTTTGACTTGTGGCTTGAATGGAGAAATGTACATTCCTTCGCGGCTTTAAAAAAAAAAAATAAAAATAAATTTACCTATAAATATAGTAAATAGTTTTTTATTGTGATTATTTCATATTGGCTGGAAAACACTTTTTCTCTTAAGCGACTTGATATTGAATAGAGGCAACGGTTTCTTTTCTCTATTCTTTGTATGCTGCATGGTTTTATAGGCGTTTAAAACATTTTGTCTGTATTTGCCAAAAATAGCTTTGGGGTTGATTTGAACGTATTTGTCTTCGCTGCAGTTCCATAATCTCGTGATACGCTCTTCATCATGGGGTTCATTCACCACATTCAGTTGTAGATCTGCTGTGTGTGTATAGCCTGGTATATGTGTTAGTGTTGATCCTTTGAACTGCTCTAAATCAACATTGCGGAATTTTTCTGCTACAAATGAGGAAATATTGTAGATATTGTAAGAATTACATTTGGCTATCAATTCATCAAGTGTCAACGCTTGGTTATCTTCACTTACATCTTTTTTGGATTTCTTCGACTTTTCGGTTGTTTGCTCAGCGGTTTCACTTGCTTGCAACACTTCAACCGATTTTTTCTGCTTCTTAGACTTTTTACTGGCTGGGGTGTCTGATGTACTAGTCTCCTCAGTATTTTCCTCCGAGTTTTCACGCTTTTTTGACTTTTTATTTTTCTTTACTTTGATATGACCGTCTGTTTTTAGTTCAGTCGCGTTTTCCGACTTCGAGGTGTGCTCAGGTACCTCAGATACTGTTGGAGCTTCATAGCCTACAATTATCACATCGTCGTCTTCTTTTGATTGATCATTTTTACTTTTCTTTGACTTCTTTTTCTTCTTAGGCATCTCCGTTGACAAAATATCTACTTCCTTATTTTCATCTATAGCATCGTTTTGATTTGTGTGTTGCYCTATTTCATTTTCTTTGCACTTCTTCTTCTTTTTGTTTTTGGGAACTTGCACATCCTCGTTTTCTGCTTCGTCCGTTAAATCTACAATGTCAATAGCACTGTCAGCATTCTTCTTTTCATTTTTGAAAATCTCCAGTTTGTCAATTGTTTCCGTAGGGATCCCTACAGMACTTCTCTTATTCTTCTTATATTTTTCTTTTTTCTCCTGAACTTCTAACACTGTATTGTCTTCAACTTCTTTAAGTGAAATCAGTTCTGTGGTTTGATCTTCAGCCTCAACTGATTCTATTTCACGCTTCCTATTTTTATATTTCTTTTTGCTTTCTGTGGGGCTGTTATCTTGTACTTCCATTATTTCAGCATTATTATTATTGTTTTTCAATGCTTCCATTTTTTGTTTAAAATAATCACTCACTGATAGTCCTGTGCTAATTGTTTGTACGCCACCAAAATTTGAGTTCACTTCTTTAGGCATTACAGCTGTTAGCTGCGCATAAACAACGTCAGCTTGTTCAGTTTCCACAACTTTTTTGCCAAATATATTTGCAAGATCTTTTTCACTATATTGTGCTATATCTTTTCCTTTCGTGAACTTCTTGTAATGCACGCGTGCTTTACTTAGCTTTGACTTCTGTTCCAGCGATATGCCACTTATTTTATCCTTCAACTTTTCTACTTTCGGTTTTTTCGGTTCAGCTGAAAATCCAAATCCCACTCTTGGAGTGTCCTCGTCAGAAGCACTTTGCTTTTCTTCAATAGCTTTCACATTGTCCCCATCAACGCAATTTAATGTCTCCAGTAGTCCATTAAAATCTTGTTCATGCTGCGTCCAATGGTCATCACGATCTTCAAACCCCAAACCTTCGTTGGTATTTCGCATACGCACACGTACAAAATCCTGGCTACCATCCTCATTAGCACCGAGACCCTTTCCCTTGGACCAGCCCATTTTCTCCAACATTTTTGTACCGAAACGCGTATCATCTGAATAATATTGAATATTAGTTTCGAAATTTGAAAAAATATGTTTTTACGAAATAATTACCTTCGTACAACGCTTTGCCTCGCGGTGTTAAATTATAACGCTTTCGCTGTCGGGGTTCAGCTAACATAGCCATATTTGCTCAATAAGTATGAAACAATTTAATGCAATATATTGTATATTTATTTTATATTTAACTATATATTTACAATTATTTAAAAAAGAYTGAAAATATTCGCAAACAAAACTAATCAGAGACTGTTGCTGTCAACCACACGTGTGAAGTGTATGTTCAGTGCCAGTATTTTATATGCTCGACAGTAACTGTCAATACTTTAATACTGTCAAGCCGAGTTAAAATTCATTAAATGTAAACGCGTTAAATAATTATTCTCATTAGTAAATTCCAAGTAGTTTTAAGGATAGTTTTAAATAAAATTTTAAAACCAAGATGTGATGAAAATATGAATACGTGCTAACTTGGATAATACAGATTTATGTGGACAGCCCCTTATACTTGAGACATCAATAGTACACAGTGAACATACTATAGTAGCTGATAACAGCTGATGCTCTGTACTTGTTTTTGTTAAGTTAATTTAATTAATTRGCCAATAATCTTAAACTAATGTTAGTGAGTTGATAAAGTGAAAACAAAAATATAATGGAGGAAAACGCAAAAGCTGACAAAATTATATCACAGGCAACACAATGGAGTTTCGAAGGCGATTGCTCCTTGCTCGMTTGGATGCAAGAACTTTCACAGGTAAACCATACACTTATCGCCTTAGTAAGAATGCACTTATGTTATCATATATAAAATCGCCTTGACAGCATATAGAACAAAGAGCCACAACAACCAATGATGCACTGCAGCAATTAAACAAAAATGTTAAACGCACTGCAATAGCGTTGGATAATGCGGCTAATAGTTTAACTGCGCTACAGTATACGCAATTTGTGGAGAGCCGCTGCCATGATGACGACGAGACACAAMCCACTACAAAGGAAGTGGAAGCGGTAGCTGCGGCAACAGTAAACCTATTTTAACAATTTCGTAATTAATTATRTGTAAACTAAAATTCAAATCGTTACAGTCTAGTGCAAAAACAAAGTCGCCCAAAGAGGTGCTCGAAACCTTTCTGCAGAAAAATCTACAAATGTTACACAGCTGTCATGAAAAGTATGCGCTCGATTTTGAAGACTCCGATGAAGATGACAACACAAACACTAATAAGTATGCTCTTATAAAATTATTCTATTATATTAAAGTATAATGTCAATGTATTAYATCAATGACATAGCTACATATATCAACCGAAGAATCCCTATAATGATGCTTTGCTGCCGCATATTTATGGCAGTAAATTATGGAAGGAACACTGGCATGTAGGACTTTGCGATGGYTCTAACGAGTACTCGGGCGACGAAGCATCCGATGCATTCTCCGAATCCTCAAGTTCCTCAGTTGCCGATAATGAATCATATGAGAGCAATACAGGAAATCTCTCCGAATGGGCTTCGAGCACTTCCATACCAATTGAACATAAACAYCCCGCTTTGATGGTGGCTCAAAAAGAGCATGCTTTACCTGCAGCTGCTGCTGTGCGAAACAAGCATATTCCAAGTACACAACATTTGCAGAGCAATGATGACAGCGATACCTGCTCCACAACGTCTCGAAGTACCACAACGAATAAGCCACTTAGARGGCGCGAGCACGATTTATTTGCTGCTTTACGCCATGATACGCCAATCACCAGTACATCCACTTCGTCCTCGCCACAACAACATATTGCTGCCGTAACGCAAGCCCAACGCACCGCAGTGCCGAAATCCTCAACGATAACACCATTTTTTGATACCACACCGCCTACAGATATTTTCGCGRATGCGGCAGCGCAGCCACAACCTAACAGCCGTGCGGAAAATGAAGCAATCCAACAAAAATCAACTGYCGGTCAAATTAAGCGTAAACCTGTGAATTTATTCGATGATGATGATTTCAAYTCATTCATGACGGAAGTCGTAGATAAGGCGCAAACAAARATTGAACCAGAACAAAAGCAAGCAACACAATTACCCGTTCCGGCCAGTAGAAGTTTGCCCTCTAGAAGWGCGGACGATTTGCCACCCGCCCGAACCGTAGACTTATTTGCCGAACCACCAAGCCTTAAAACACCAGCAACAAATCAAGTAACCGCGCCAATAGAAATTGAAAAACCAAAGGAAACCATAACTCGAAAACCAGTTAATCTGTTCGACAGTCCCGAAGGTAGTCCACAAGATGATGCGCTCTTCACGACCAACGATAAAAAGGTTGAGCGGAGTATTGAAAAGACGAAAGACGWAATAGCTCCTGCCGTTGCGAAGCCTAGTATCACTGCTAAGTCGCTGTTTGACGATGACGACGATGATGATGATTTCCTAAATGTGTTTGGCGCTAAGAAGTTAAATCTGCCGCAGCGTTCGACGGGCAAAACGCTGCTTTTCGACGACGATAATGACGAAGTAACACGCCCACCCACAAATACTCGAACAACAAGCAACCTATTCGATTACACACCAACTGCCGATGATTTTACGCCCACTACGGAAATATTTAAACAAAACAACAACAATAACAACAAAACGCGCGATAGCTCCACAGTTAACAGTATTATTGGTAGTGCGCCGCCCCAAAATGCAAAAGCAAGAACTGTAGAAAAAGCTTCAACAAACGCTACCACAACAACAACAACTGCAACATCTTCGAATACGATTTCCAATTCACAGGTAAATTGCTATAGTCGTAGTATGTGTTGGGTAGATATTGTAAATTGGAATATTTGCAGTTGGTGCAAGCGCCACCGGCGAAACCCGTTAATAAGCCCTTTMCCGCTAATCTCTTTGCCGATGACGAAAATGACGATTTAGATGAACTGTTTGGTAAAAAGTCAGCAATRCAACAACCAGTCAAGACTGTCACCAATGAGCCAAGTAAAAATGTGCTTGAAAAGGTGGCAACCACGCAGCCAATCACAAATGCAACGGCGCCGAAGAAGAAATCACTCTTCGATGACTTGGTAGACGATGATGACGAWGATGATTTATTTGGTAAGCCTAGCAATCACTCAATCACTCCAAGTAAGGCCTCTCTCCGCGTGGAGAATCGCACAGGCGACAGTCTAAAAAGCGCAACACTTTTTGGTGATGATTTCGATGATGATGCCGATGATTTGTTTGCTGTGAAACCGGTCCAGAAAGTAAACCCGAGCACTGCAGTTAGTAAGGATAAACCGCAGACTGTTTCCAACAAAGATGAGACGACGCAAGTTTTAAGAGAACAAAAAGAAGACAAGTCTTCCAACCAACAATTAACGGATGCGACGCCAATTGGTGCAGTGAAGAGTGTCAGCGCACATAAATCSTTATTTGAAGATGGAGATTTGGAAAATGCGAATGATCTCTTTAATTTTGCGAAGAAAGATACGCTTGCCGGTTTGGAGCAGGTCAAAGAAGAGAGCAATGATATTTCACACAGAGCAAAGGCTGGCTCAAGCGCTATTGGACCCACCCTATTTGCTTCCATTTCGGAAGAAGAGAGTGCAGAGTTGAAGCCGCCAGCAATGAATGGACTTCTTAGCGAGGCTGAAGAAAATATGAGTGAAAGCGCGARGAAGACACTTATTACTGACGTCACAGCGGAGCAAATTGACGCCAAGCCGGAAGAAATTGTCGCCGATGCTGAAGAGATTGTCTATAATTTAAAGCCGAACTTTGCTGAGACCGAGAATTTCACGGTGGACCCRACGAGAACCACTCAAAAGAGCACACAAAAGAAAGAAGAGCTTAAAGAAGCTGAAACATTCGCAGAAACCTGGAAGCACGATAAGAATAACGCTGAAAARAATCTGGATCCGACATCGGAGCACACGGTAGAGCATTCTGTAGAACCCGTAACGTCACAACACCCAACGGAAACAACGCCACCAATAGCARAGGTTGTTGAGCTCACTGCTGAAGACAGAGAGAACACAGCTGGCCAACAACAAAAATATGCCTCCATCTTTCTCGATGAACCACCCGATGATGATGACTTCTTCACAACACTCAGCAATAACACGAAACCGTTATCTGTCTCGAAACTAACGCTCGACTTGGAAAGTGATTTCTATGAACCAGCCTTGCCACAAGTACCGAACTCCGCACGTACTACAACAACTGCAGCGACAACAAACACACAGGCAGGCGCCAGCGATTATGGTGGCCTACGTCTATTTAGCGAAATCCCACCCGACGACGACGACGACGACGACGATSATGAAGATGGCAATAATTTTCATTCTGCCAAAAACTCCAAACCGACCGCCRATAACGGCGACGGCGTCAATCAGCGTTTGCATAGTGTTTTCTATGACGACTTCTCCGAGACTTTGGAGGCCGTGCAGCAAATTAAGGAGAATAAAATAGCGGCGMATGCATTGTTTGATGATGAACCGCCATCGGATGAAGAGCCATTTGCTATTCGAACAGTAGAGACACCGAAAAATGTGGTGGAAACAACAGCCGSAAAAGCGGATACAGAAATAAGTGAAGTTGAACAAGAAAAGGCGTACAGTGGAGCTGAAACCACGAAAGATGTCACTGATCGTGCAGTGCCAAAGTTGGAAGACACTGCAGCGCCGGATAAACCGCCCGCTGCCGCTGGCAAACTGCAAATGCCAAACATCAAGATCAATGTACAAGCACTGCTGCCCGGCGGTGGCGGCAGACCGAGTTTCAAAAAGTCTCCAACCACACCCACGGTCTCCACACATACACCTCCGACAAGTGAAATTTCCTTACCGCCTCCAGCTGCTAAGTTGAGCAAAGCGACCTCGAGCGCAAGCTTAAAATCCACGGTATCCACAGAATCGGCTAATGAGAGCCTGCTGCCRAGCGTTTGCAAAACTCGCGTGCGTGCGCCAGCCGGCAGGCGACCGTCCACGCGCAGGGCGCGTCAAGAAAACTATCGTCAATCGCTCATCGCGGAGCAGTCGGACCACTTASTGGACTATGCCGGTTCGGAAACTGCGTCCAGCAGCAGCCGGATAACACGAAAGCCAACAAATCAAAATGAAAGTGAAAGCAGAACTGTACCATCAACGTCAAGCAGCGTTATCAAAGCACCAGCAAGCATTGAAATTCCTAAGCCAACAAACTTATTCCTGCACGAAGACGCTGACGCGGATGACTACGACACACTTTTTAAGTCAGCGCAGACAACCAGAACTCAAAGTGGCRATAATGTCCAGCAGRCGTTGCATATAAAGACAGCCAATGACTTGAGTGAGCCCGGCCCGTCTCCACAAACGAAYCCAACGCAAGCSACAACAAAAAATAAAGTGGATTTCGTCGRGAGCGATGGCGACGATGACGACGATCTGTTTAAGCGCGTGCGGATCGCGCCCTCAAGCGCAGCGCTGAGGCCAGTGAACAACAGCAAAGCAGCAATTATAACARCAATTACACAAAGCGTACCACCAACTACAACAACAACAACAAAATCGCTTTTCGGCAACGCGCCAAGTGAAGACTCCGATGAAGATCTCTTCAAAAGCAGCAAATCGCTACAAAGCACAGCCGCGGGAACAACCGCGAAGGCGCCAAGTCCGCTTACAACAACAGCAGCCGCAGCTTCATCGGCAAGCGATGCAACTGTTGAGCCGAAGCCCAAAACCGAGTATAAATTAGACTCCATTTTCGGGAGCGACGATGAGGACGACGATTTTCTGTCGCAACTTAAGCCCAAAACGAAAGCAACAGCGAGCTTGTTAACAACCAGCGCGAGCAGTTCGGCGAAGCCGTCAACTTCGGCCAGCGCTGGCCTGTTTAGTGATATCGAAAGTGATGAAGACGATCTGTTTGGCGCCAAAAGCAAGACAAAACATAGTAAATTTTTATTTTTATTAAAAAAATTATTTTAAWAAATAACTGTTTCTCATATTTTGCAGCCACGGATAAGGCGAAAGGCGTTACAGCAACGTTGGCCTCCGCCAGCAACAAACAAAAGCCAGTTACAACAAAGCAACAGCCCCTCGACAAGCAAAAGAYTTTAGCGGATAATCCTTTAGCAGATCTGTTAAATCCATAACAGGTCGCCTTGCTTGCTTCGGCGGCCTTCCAATAGCAAATTACCGCTGTAGTAGCGAAGAAATATCAACGAAAGTGCATTAACCGTTAAACACATTTATTTTCCTTGCACCGCATTGTGTGTTGTGCATAAGTATTTAGCGAACAAAAGTAAAAAACTTATATTGAATTTTTAATTAATTTTTTTATGATTTCAATTTATTTTATATTATATATACACACATTTCTATACCTTTGTAGGCATACATAAAAATATTTCCTTTATTACATAATATGCATATCTACAAAATAAAATTATTATAAAAATCAACAATGTGGAGTATTAAATTATTAATGGTAAAGTAATATTAAAAACGCATTTTCGACGGAGAGTTAATTGCGTGAATTAGCGATTCTTTCTTAAGGTTTTTGTTGATTTTCTCAATT